CATCCACCATCCCTTACCCTCCTTACCTCCACCCATATTATTACCCATATCCGGTGCAGCTAGAACACGGTGGACCATCTACATCAGCAGAGGTTGGTGCTAGGGATCCTGCAACTGCAGCAGATAAGGGTTTATACATTGAGCCTGAAGGTGACACATAAGTTTAGTTTATTTTGTTAAGTTTATTGAATTTGATATATTATATGTTATTGAAAAAAAATTTAACCTATAGCTTCAATCCCTCAAGGCCACCTACCCACAAGATTTGGGACATCATAAGGAGAAAATATGATGCTCCTTACTTATCATGGAAGAAGATCCCAAAGAAAATTAAGGATATGTGGTTTAGAGAATTTCATATATATTTATTTGGCATGAATTAAAATATTTGATTTAATTTGTATTAATATTATTATTATGCCTATATTTTTTACATAAAGATTTTAGGTGGTTGCGTGAACATAGCACGAGGATTAGAACAAATTTTGAGAGGAGTGGATTGACCCGTCTTAAGGATATGTTCATGGACATTAGAAAGTCCAGGCAGCGTTCATTATGGATTGGAGAGGGTGTATGGGCAGATCTTAGTAGAGCTTGGGTGAGCCCCGAGTTCACAAAAATAAGAAAGTAAAATAAGTAAAATAGAGCATCTGATTATGGAGGTTTAGGAAGCTCCCTTCATACTGGTTGATTTGTTCCTCATACTAAACATAGATGAAGACTCATAAAAGCTTTCAATTAGTTTAATAAATATATGTATATTATTTTAACTATAACATCTATTTTCAGAAAGAGTTTCATGGCCAGAGCTGACACCATTAGAGTTGCATATGAGGACTCACCAACATCAAGCTGACCATCAGTGGGTTGATGAAAAGGCTAAAAAAGCTCATGTGAGTATAATTTTTGGAGTTCGGGAATATAAATTTAATATAAAAAATCTAATTCTAATATCGATTTATTTTATAAATTTATTCTCGCAGGATAATTTTGTACGAGTTTAGGAAAGTCGTCAGTCTATTGATGATGAATCATCTTCAGGATCGCCCGAGTATTCTAAGTATCATACATGGACATATGTGTTGGAGGAAGATAGAGAGGGAAGATATATGGCTTGGGTTCGTAAGGCTATACTTATGAGGACAGTTCATCGACATCATCATTTTATGATCCTAATGAAGCTGAAAAAACTGTTAGGCATAGGATTGTAGCCCTGACAAAAGAGATAGAAGAGATGAGAAAGATTCAAAATGAGATGCAGGCAGAGCTGCGATCCTATAGAGATGAAAATCAAAAGAAGAAATATCAAGAGCAGACACATGAATCACCAGGCAGTGAGAACACAGAGGATGATTAGTACTCTTATTTGTTTGATGAACTTTTGGTTTAAACATTTGGTTTGATGAACTTGTTGTGTTAAAGCAAAGATATGGACATCTTATTGTGGATTTATGTGTTATGTTTATTGTAGACTTTATTTGATTTGATGAACCTTTTGTTTAGACATTTGGTTATGTTTATTGTGGATTTCATTTGAATGTTATATATGTGGATTTTGTATATAGTTGTGGGTTGATTATAGTGATGTGTTGCCCATATTTGTGATAAATGTTGTATATTATGTGCAGGTTTGTGGAAAATTGTGTAAATGGAAGGGAGGCTGTCATTTTTTTTTTTTTGAAAATATTATAGGTTTTGGTGGCCAATTGTTGGTTGGGCCGTCGGAAACTTCAATACTATACGACTTATAATAGCAGCGAGAAGTTTAATATAGCTGTCGGTAAATACTGACGATTTACCGGCCGTCGCTGGCTGACAACTAGCGGTTAGGCCACCGATAAAACTGGCATTTTTGACGGCCGGTAAGCCGTCGGTGACTTTCTGGCAGTCATCAATGCTATGACGATTGGAATTTATAGTCGTTTATCCAGCTAGAAAACTGCTAGAAACAGACCGCCGTAAATTGTTTCCTACGCCGTTTATATCGGTGGTTTACTAACCACCAAAAAATCGTCAGTATTTTACGAAACCGTCGAAAGTGTTATAGGAACCACCAGAAAAAGCTCTCGGTAATTCCTGATTTCCCACTAGTGAAACTTCCAAAAAGGAAATTTTGAAAAAAAAACACCAATTTGCCCCTCTTGATATGTCATTGTAATTCAAGTGGTTGAACAGCAATATATTAATTATAAATAATATTTAAATTCATATAAAACTTTTCACATAAGTCAAATAATAATTTAATTCTTAAATCGATCACAAATAATTTTAGATGACAAATAATATATATATATATGAGAAATGAGGGGTCTATTTATAGTTTTTTTGGAGTGGCATGGCTTGTAAATAGGTGTGAGATCAGGGGCGAACAGGGAGTGGTTGAATGGATGGATGATATTGAATCCCTTGATCATACATCATTCATCAGCCATTTGAGGGCCTTAGTGATGTCGGAATACGACGATCTTGAGTTCGTTGGATTCATCTCATCGATCTGTTCAATTTGACTATAAGTTCGTCAAAATTGGAGGCCATTTGGCAACTCAAATTGTGGTACACACTTTCCAATAGCGCTTCGGGTGCTCGATTTGGGCTCATTTGGGATCATATTAAGTTGAATTTGGTGTCGTTGTGTTTGTATTTTCGAGACGCTCAGTTTGATTGTAAGCTTGATGAAATCAGAGTTCAGGTGCTCCCGAACTTAATTTTTGAAGTTTCCAACTTGAATTTTGCCTCGAGATTAGAGCCCGATCAAGATAATTTTTGTATCACGTATCAGTTGCCCTCCTATTTTCGGACGTCGAAGCTTTAGGAGTCCAAAAATATATGCTTCGACAATTTTTATTGGCCGAAATGCAAAAATTATGCTCCTAACATTAAGAATTTTTTGAAATTTTATCATAGAGGCCACGTTGAGCTCCGAAAGTGAAAAAATTGAGTCTGAAACGTCGAAAAACGTGTATGGGGACCCCAAAAATGTCGGATTTGGACCGTCCGAGCTAAAAATCGAGCTCGGACACGCGTTGGCGGGCGAACCGGCTCAACCTCGCGCTGTTCCGCGAAGTTACAGTTAATTCAATTTTTTTTGCCAGGCCCACATGGAAAATTTTAACCCCAAAAAATCTGAAAAAATTCCAAAAAAAATCCAAAATGATTCAAAAAAATTTTGAAAAATTCAAAAATTATGGAGAACTCAAAAAATTTCCCCCTTCTCTCACAAAAACTATAAATAGGCCTCTAAGGCCTTTAGAAAAATTGCCCCTTCTCTTCTTCTCCCTCTGGCTCTCTGACAGTTGAGGCTTTCCGCTATTTTTGAGTTGGAAACTTTCCCTACTCGACTTAGCGCCCCTCCTCTTGTGCAGAAGTTTGGGGATTTATCTTTTTCTTCTTTCTTTCCCCACTCTAGCTTTCTGACAGTTGAGGCTTTCTGCTATTTTTGAGTGGAAATTTTTCCATACTCGACTTAGCGCCCCTCCTCTTGTGCAGAAGTTAGGGAATTTCTCTTTTCTTTCTTTTCCCCCCTATGGCTTTCTGACAGTTGAGGCTTTCCGCTATTTTTGAGTAGGAAATTTTTCTTGATCGACTTAGCGCCCCTCCTCTTATGAAGAAGTTAGGGGATTCATCTTTTTCTTCTTTCTT